TTAAAGACTCACTTAACAACTGCCTTGCTTAGAAATGGAAATTCTGGTTGCAATTGTGGTAGCAAGCCAAGGACAATCTATAGGTCTGATACTCAGTAAGTACTACCGCAGAATGATTCACTGAGTCACTGATGGGAGGCCAAAAAATCATGTTCTCTGATATAAATGAAGATTCTACAGTGGGTCCCCCCCCCCACAATCTTGGCAACTTTAAGATGTACGGACTTCAACTCCCAGAATTCCCCAGCCAGCATTGGAAAACAATGTTCAACAGCATCACAGATCTACGTAATCTTAAACACTAACATAGGAGCCCGCAACTCTTGGGCTGCGGATCGGTAGTGGTTCGTGGCCTGTTAGGAACTGAGCCACGCAAACAAGCAAAGCTTCATCTGTGCAGGAGCTCGCTAGCATATGAAACCACCCTCCCCCGCCACTGCCCGTCTGGTCCGTGGAAAAAAGGTTGGGGACCTATGTGCTAACAGATGAAAATGACCCATCAGTCTCTTACTTCAGAACATATGACACAAATAAAGAGAGGACTTTGTCATTTCATCCAAATGCCTCCATGATTCCATATGCATGATTGCCACACTAAAATATAGGATTTTTTTTGGGGGGGGGGGGTGTTATCTAACACAAAATCTGGCAAAGTTACTGCCCTGTATTAAAAGATAGAAAAAAAGAATGAAAAACGCACTGAGAATTTTTGCTAGTTGAGTTCAGTGGTTTGAGAGACAAGGGAAAACATGAGCCACGTAGTTCTGAAACTCTAGCATGAATTATTATCTATTCAGTTGCTAAAATTCCTGCTTTCTCTGAAACTCATCAGATTCATTAGCTGCGTGGGGAAAGCTAATTTAATAAGTCCAACTTCTCTGCAGTGATGAAACAGACGCAATTGATCATTAGCTTTCTAAGTGCTTCTGTCAGAATTGTGGATGGACCCTCGGATCATAAGGACAGCCATCCATGTGCTAGGCATTTGATGATTCTGGGCCAGCTCCATAATTTCCACTGTGACCACAAACCTCTGAGTTGATCTATATTCTGTACCAGGTGAAGATAACCCCAGATGCTCCCTAGTAACCAAATTCAACTGACAATCTACATTCGGTTATCTTTGTCACAGAATTTGTAAACACCAAAGAGCATTTTTCCGAAATATACAAATCAGGTTTGATTCTTTTGAAATAAATATATATACAACATATACCTTTGAGTCCAGCAGGTAGTTATAAGGCATAAAAATGATGTCGGCTTGCTGTTTCAGACTCCGAGAAAGATAATAAGGGCAAACTCTGTTTAAAGAGAAATTTTAAAAAATTACACAATGCCTTCTGAGTTACATTGTTTTCAATAAAGCTTTGTTGTGTTTATCAAGAACTGTCTGCCATCTTTTTAATGAATGACAAAAACGCTACAAGCCAAGATATCTAACTTGTGGCTTGGCCATAAATTCATTAGGTGCCATTAAGTCAAAATAACTGCCACTTTCCAATTGCAGGGCTATTCCAGCATTGCTTAATATCCACATAATGCTGTTCCTTGTAATTTATGAGTTCCATTTTAGCCTGCAACCAAGGATAACTAAACTATGGATAATGAAGCTTTGAGTCTGTGGAAACATTCTGGAACACAAAACCAGGGGNGATAGGTGTAACGTGGGTGTATCGGGGTACACCCACAATCGCTCTCGCGGCTGCATTCTGGACGAGTTGAAGTCTCCGAATGCTCTTCAAGGGCTGCCCCATGTAGAGCGCATTGCAGTAGTGCGGCCGGCCAAAGATCCAAAAGGAACATGGCTGCAGGCCTGGCACATAAGAATCAATAAAAAGAAAATTATCCTTTTTTAAATATGCTTATTTGGCTACTTCAAGCAGGATCCAAATCTTCCTGTCCTCCCTTCTGATTGCTGTTGTCAATCAACACCAGATGCTTCAGAACAAGGCGTAATTGTTGCACATTTTTTTCTTCCTCAAGGGGGAAATGTTATATATTTGATATATTACTTCAGGAGAACCCTAAAATAACTTCAGAGTCCTTAATATTCTTCATCCTGCTTCAAATTAAAAGACTTAAGGATGGTGTCTCTTTGTGGTAGCACGGGGCGATAGCAGATTGTTCCGAAACAAAGAGTTAAATATTAATATCCAATTCTTTCCCACAGTGAAGCTGTTAGTCCTTTAATCCTATGTAACAGTGATGGCGAGCCTTTTCAGCATCGTGCCCACACCGGAATGCATGTGCATGCATGTGTGCGAGCAATGGAAACCTGAATACCAGCTGGCTGGTGGACACATGCCTGTTTTGGGGCCATTTTCCGGGCCATTTTTGAACTGTTTTCCAGATCGTTTTCAGGCCATTTTCCGCCTGAAAACGGCCCGAAAAAACTCCCCATTTTTTAAACCAGAAGAGCAGCTGGCGACGGCACACATGTCCATAGAGAGGGCTCTGTGTGCCACCTTTGGCACACGTGCCATAGCTTTGCCATAACGGCTATATAACAAGGATGTCCAACCTTGGTAACTTTAAGACTTGTGAACTTCAATTCCCAGAGGCCACGGCTGGGGAATTCTGGGAGTTGAAGTTCATTAGCCTTAAAAGTTGCCAAGGTTAGACACCCCTCCTCTATATATCAGTATTCCTTGGCTTACAACAGGTCACTTAATGACTGTTCGAAAACACAACAGCACTGTAAAAAATTGAATCATGACCGTTTTCACACTTACGACCATTGCAGCAGGCCCAGGGTCATGGGATCAAAATTCAGAATCTTGACAGCTGTTTCATATTTATGACGGTTGCAGTGTCATGTGATCTCCTTTGAAGACCTTCTGACAAGCAAAATCAATGGGGAAGCGAGATTCCCTTGACAGCCGTGTTACTAACTTAAAACAACTGCAGTGATTCACTTAACGACAGTGGCAAGAAAGGTCGTAAAATGGGGCAAAGTTCACTTAACAAATGTCTTGCTTAGCGATGGAAATTTTTGGGCTCAATTGTGGTCGTACGTCGAGGACTCCCTGTGCTCATAAGGCAGCTTTGCCTGTTTATGTTAGTAGGGGTGAAAATGGGGGGGAAACATGGCATTTAAAAACAATTACGTGCCTCTCAAGGAGACCAGACATAACCGCACTGTAATGAAAGATACGCAGTGCAGATGAACATGGTTTCCCAGTTTTCAAAATAATACCAATCATCCCAAATTCGGAAGCCACCTCTCCATGTTTAATTGAAAAATGTATTCTTATAATTATCACTGGATAACAAACTAGGTTATTTCTCAGCAGGGTATGATGGTATTGCTATAAAGACGCACTCTCCTTTCAAATTAATCATTTACACTTCGTGGGTTGTTTTTTTTTCATTTCATAGCAACAGCCAAGCGAGACTCCACAGTGATATAAAAGGGAACCATTCCTTAGATCAGAATATTCGAGCAGGGAGTTATTACCAGCTTGTTTTATAATAATGATTTGGAAAGGTAATATCTTCAGCAGGTGATATGAAAGGAGGAAATGTTTCCCAGAGGATGATACTGGTAATCCTTGATTTTCCACCTGTCAAAGTCACAACAGAATCCACAAAAGGGTGCAGGTAGTCCTCGCCTTACAACAGTCCATTTAGTGACCATTCAAAGTTACAACAGCACTGAAAAAAAATGACTTATGACAGTTTTTCACACTTATAGCCGCTGCAGCATCCCCAGGGACATGCGATCAAACTTGTAAACAGTGTATATTGTCTGTAGTGTTTGTTGCAAGGAGGCAAATTGCTGGGAGGCAGAGGAAGATAGCAATAGCAATAGCAGTTAGACTTATATACCACTTCATAGGGCTTTCAGCCCTCTCTAAGCGGTTTACA